CAAAAAGAAGAAGAAAAAAAAGACGGGTCATTGTGATATTGGAAAGAAAAATAAAGTTCTTTATTTTAAAAATGTCACAACTATAAAACGTGATTTACCAATACGTAGTAGCTATATTTGTCAGTGGCAAAGGGATCGTAGACTATATAGCTCATTTTATAGTTACACATAACCTGAATCTTTTTCCTTTATTAGGTATCAGAACTGTGGGAAAAGGGTAGAAATAAGAAAGCCTCAATTAATTAGCACATTAAAATTATTTTACATTTTAGTTCATTAATATGAATATTTATGCTGTTAATTTGATACCCAAGGCTCAGGTTTATGGAACTTTAATTAGCTATGTTCTTTTTATTTTATTTTTTCCCTAGTGAAACTTTGAATTTGGGGTAGTATCAAGTAACTTCCAATGCCATGTTATAGTTTACGTAGATGTAAATTACTCAATATTCAATTTGGCTTAATACCTTGGTAATAAAGATGCAGCCAACATGTATTCACTGGATCAACCCAACAAGAAATTTTAAAGCTGAATTTGGATTCATTAGAATAAAACAAATGATATAGTTAGAAAAATGACTATATCAGGTTTGTTAATTATTAATTTATTTTCAAAGACTAAAGTGACAAACACTGAAGCATAGTTTAAAATTCATTCATGTGTGTGTGTGTGTATTATACAGAAGCAAAAAATAATCAGAATTATGAGGAAAATAGTAGCCAATTCTTGTAGGCTAATAGACAATAGTTAGGCTAATAGACAATAGTTAGCCAAATTTTTGCCACTACTCGATACATTTAAAAATTGGCCTTTTAAAAGGAAAGTGGTGATCTTTCATCATGAGGGAAGTTCAACATTATAATAACTAGGGTTGAAAGCCAATTTGGTGTAGTGGTTAAGGCACCAGGCTAGAAAATAAGAAACTGAATTATAGTCCTATTTTAGGCATAAGGTAGCTTGGTGACCTTGGGCCAGTCACTTTCTCTCAGCCCTAAAAAAGAGGCAATGGCAAACTACTTCTGAAAAATCTTCACAAGAAAACTGCCAGAAGTACCCCAGGCAGTCTTCAGGAGTCAATTGTCTTGAAGGGACAAAACAAACAAACCTAGGGTTACAATTTTTAATTGCCACTTTGTATAGATCAGACATTTTACTAGAACAAGGGATGCAGATTCAATCTTGAGTTTGAACATAAATATTTTGTATGGGAGCTTGAACTATCTTCCAGCTGTTACTTGATAGGTAGTGCATCAATTCAGATCAAACACAAAAAGGTTTCCTATGTATAGTATGCATGATCTTAAAAATATAGCTAGGGAGAATTCAGCATGACAGGGAGTTCTATTGTGAATTGAATTTAAATCACCTACAAATGGGGGATTTTAGAGCAGAGGTCCCCAACCTCTGGGCCGAGGCCCACTACCAGGCTATGGCCTATTCTGAATTGGTCCGCATGAGTGGCTGCTAGAGCACATGCGCACAACTCAACTTCTGCAAGCAGTAGGCCCTCGCATGCATGCATGCGGCTTGTCCACTTGGGCTGGCCCACTGCTTGCAGGACTGTGTGTGCATGCTTCGACCTGCCACTCGTGCAAAAGTTGTGTGAGTGCATGTGCCATCCTACCACTCGAGCAAGGGCTGTGTGTGCATGTTCCCCTCTCCCACCACAGCCGGGCTGCCAAGCCACAAAGATTAGGGACCGCTGTTTTGAAAATATCTAAGTTCCAGACTGTCTAAGATCTCCTAAAATTTTATCAAGGTTTAATGTAAGTAAAACAGGTATTGACAACTTGCAATTCATCCAAACTTTGCTGGGTGGATACAAACCTATTGTTCAAGATGAACTGATGAGGTCCCCCCCCCACAAAATATCCTACATTAGCCTAGATCAGTGGTGGCGAACCTATGGCACGGGTGCCAGAGGCGGCACTCAGAGCCCTCTCTGTGGGCACGCACGCCGTCGCCCCAGTCCTAGGCCTTCAGCTGGGTTTTATAAAACCTTTTCGCTTTAGGTCTCCGCCGCCGTGTACAAAAAAAAAAGGTTCAATCAATCAGTCAATTTCAACTTCTCGTGGGGAAAAAAAAGATCTTGCAAAGTTGGAATTGATTGATTGAACTTTTTAGTCCCACCCAGTCTGTTGTTACCACCGCAGCCACGCCCACCATATGGGCCACACCCACTCAACGGGCCACACCCACCCAATGGGCCACACCCACCCGGCACCCGACGATGCATAAGTGGGTTTTGGGTTGCAGTTTGGGCACTCGGTCTCTAAAAGGTTCTCCATCACTGGCCTAGATTCACTAGCATGATTTCTATTTGTTTAAAGAGGCTAATTGCAAAAGACTATTTGGCAAAACTGTAAGTAGTACAGCCCAGAACTCTCTTCAGGCCACTAATATAAAAAATCTAATGTGATTAAAAGGTCCAACTTTAGTCTGTGGCTTAGTTTAGATATATTTACAGTATAAACAATAGTTCATTATATATGCACAAAGTGTTTTTGTAATGCCCTAGCTTTAAAGCTCTTTCAACTGAAAGGGTAATAGTTACAAAAGATGCACAATGTTTAACTAGCTGTCTGCCCCACCCCAAGATAAATGGCAAGAAGAGTATGGTGGGTTTAAACCATTTACTAACCTACCATCAGGAAAATACAACATTTAATAATACATAATGGTTAAGATATGCACATTGCCCCTAAAGAGAAGAAAAAACAAACACACACTGCAGAGTCAGCAACTGTTTTCACATTCTACTTCTTAACCAGCTCCAATCTTAAGATATTCTTTTATTTATTAAATTAAAAGTGTCAATCCATCAAATGTCCCCTATTTCTTTTCCTCACCAGTGTGGATCAGTTTTCTCCACAAAAAAGAGACTCACTAATTCTGGCCTCTGGGATATTATTACTGAACAAGAGGTTGTCTGTTTCAGGATGAGAGGTGCACACTGGGTGGTGAACTCTTAAGACTTCTTTATGGGCTGCACTGAGTTCAGAAAAAACAAATAGCAATTTCTTCAGTAGTAAAAGAATAGCAATACTTAAGGGATAATTAGTTCAGTTCATTTTTATTAGTTAACACTGAGTCCAGTACCCGGACCCCAGGTAATTTTATTTCTGTCTTTTTATCCCATTTCTTCCCAATACAACCAGCCCACAATGATATGAATCCAAAGGAATAAAATCCAAGCATCAGAGACATCAGATCAATTATAACAACCATACATAACATCCTACTTCCAAACCCTAAAATATCCAAGCAATAAACTTTAACCATATTCTGAGCCTAGTTTAGGTCTACAACTGGACTCAACAACATATATTATACAGGAAGCTTACATGTAGAACATTCTATATTTGAGTTTTTATAGAGCAAGCCTGTGAGGAAACTCCAGTGTGGTAAACAAGATTTCAACATTTTCAATATATTTAATTAACCTTGGGGGGGGGGGATTCTTTCTCTCTCGATAAGATATAACATCTGCAACAAAGGGTTGAGAAATTCATTTAAACACACTTGGGAGAATTAGGAAGCGAACAAAGGGAAATCCCATTGTCTGCATAATATTTGATGGAATCCTTGTTTTAAATTTTAGCAATTTGGACCATGATTATGTGCAGAAATTGCATGTTCTAGTAATTCAACAAAATTTATATAATGATAGCATAGTACAATTCCTTGATTATTTATATCGTCTTCTCTTTCTGAATTAGGGTACATTTAGTCGCATATAGTAACAGAATAAATAATAAACATTTTCATGAAAATCAATTCTTTATTAATATCTGCAGATAAAGGAATCACAACTTTTTCATATTTTAAAAATAAAAATATAAAGATACTTGGTTTTCAAAAAATTTCTAGTACAAATGATATTTTTTCTGCAAAATTCTGAACCTCACATTGCTATAACATGCACTATATGCATCAGAGTAAGTGTACATGCATTTTACCTGGAGCACACGGCTAATTATCTGAGTAGACTACGAACATTGCCTATTAACTGCTACTGTAAAAAGACTATAAATGTCTCATCGTACTTATGCTTGTATAATTCCATCAAATATACATTTTTGAGTATTTCTTAAAGCTAAGGTGTCAGTGTGTCACTTTTTAGTCACAAATTCTCCATCCATCTACCATGTTTCCCCAAAATAAGACTGGGTCTTATTTTTATTTTGCGCCAAAAGAGGCACCAGGTCTTATTTTCAGGGGATGTCTTTTATACTCACCTCTGGCACCGACAGCTCCGCCCAGCCAGTCCACTTCTTCTGCAGCCGAATGAGCAGCTTCATTCTACAGATGCATTCCGGCCTGCATTTCACAGTCAGGATTTTCCGGAAGGCATATGCAGCCGAGTACTGAGCTATGGATTGAATTCATAGCTCGGTTCTTGGCTGCAGTGGGCAGAAGACGCTGCAGAAGAAGTGGACCGGTGAGGAGAGGCCTGGCTGCAAAGTAAGTGGGTGCAGGGCGCATGAGGCGGCTGCACACCCCCACCCCACCTGATTTTTAGGCGTGTGCCTCACCCCAAAACTAGGGCTTATTTTTGGAGTAGGCCTTACTTTCGGGAAACCACGGTATGGATTCAGTTATAAAGTCTCAAAACAAGATATTCACAATAAAAATATTGCCTGAGGCTGTAACTTTGGTGACTTTCACTGGCAGTAAAATACTGTTGAAGACATAATTCCTTCTTCACATAGCGCCTGTTTGCAAAAAAAAGGTGAATCACTATCATATTGCTGCTTAATAAAGGCATGCCATCTTCTTGAAAGTCTGACATATGTATTTTCTGTTTATTGCGCAACATCCTTCTCAAATCACCCATTTTCTACAACTAATACTGCTTATGCTGCTAGTGCTTAAAGTGTCTACAGGAGAAACTGTGTTCCAGAAAAAGGAAATACTTAAAAGACTTCCTATAATGGGCAACAATAATGACCTGGAGGAAAAATATGCTGCACGAAGCACACAATGAATATTAGCAAATACAATTCTTATTAGTTTGTCCATTAATCCACAAATGCTTAGACAACCTTCTTTTTTCTTGTCAGATGATATAAATTCCCATTACTTATTGCTTGTTTGGACAACACTGAATCTTAACTGAAAATATGAACAGATTACGTTTTATTACATGAACAACCTTCCTGTGACTCAGTAATGAAATGTGGAGCACAGGCTATATCGCATGCTTATTACGAATAATTTCTCCTCCTTCTATCTCAATTTGCTCGTATAGCCACTTGCGATCACAACGGCATTCAGGTCCACACTTGCGGGAGCCGCACTTGGAGCAGGCATAGAAACACCCAAGGCAGTCTTCATCAAGGCAGTCACACAGGTCTATCCCACTATAAAGCAGAAAGCCTTGGCTGTCATATACCTTGCTCTTTGCTGCTATTAATTGCCTGGAAGGAAAAATACAAGCAACAATAGTTAACAATGATTTGTAATACTAGGCACTGTTTTAAATAACTGACCATTCAGTTTAAAACTCCCGATAGGTGAATTTCTGTAGTTTGTTGTACTGAGAAGCAGCAGATATAAACTAATATGACTACTGCAATGCATTCTACATGGGGCTGTCCTTGAAAAGTTTCTGGAAGTTTCAATTACATTACACTGGCCTGAATGGTTTTACGCAAATCTAGACTGGTACCTCTCTTGCGGGAGTTGCATTGGCTCCTGATTTGCTTCTGGGTCTAATTCAAGGTGCTGGTTGTGTCTCCATTAAGCCGTACATGGCCTGGAGCCAAGTTGTTTGAAGGACCATCTTTTCCCAATTACATGTGCCTTACCCACCACAGTGGAGAGGCAGGGGATATTACCAGTCTGGTCTACTAAGGAGGTCCATCTAATGGGACAAGAAGAAAGGCTTTCTCCACGGGAGCTCCCTCCCCAAGGAACATCATTCCTGCAGAAATAAGATTGCCCCCTACCCTGACACTCTTTTGAAATGCCCTATTACAGGGGGCAGGGGGGGAGAAGGCCATATAATTATTTTAAATATTTTTGAAAATAAATGACGATTATATAGGCTGCCAAGAAACTTTTGCAGAATAAGAATTTAATTCAATGCAGAGGCCATTTATATATTCAAGCAACTATACTGGATGTCTGTCCATGCTACAATTCTGACTCTTGTGGCAAATGATCCACTTTTTTTTAATGCTCACACTACATAACAAAGTCTTTTAGAACTTTCCATCTGGCCACCACTATACTAAAAATATCTAGTACATTTACTTCAATTTTAATTATTGTTTAACACCAAGTACGAATCTACCGATTATCACAACTGACATGCAACTGTAATAGTTATAGCTAATTCAGTTTGCTTTGAGTTTAGCATAAAGAGTACAAAAATTGATCTATTATGATTGTTTAATATTAAAATTGCAACTAAGTATAGTATCTCCATCATCAAATTTTCAAACTGCTTTATAATGATTGGACAATGCAACTTATTTTATTCCTATGCACAAACATAGGGAAAAAAGCCATGCATCTAAGCAGTTCTAAATTATAATCCATATGTAAGCAGGACAATTTCCCCTCAAAGTGAAAAAGCAAAGGCAATCAATCCATAAATGGGTCTACCTGTCTGAATTAACGGATGTGTTTTTTGTTTGTAGCTTTCTTTTTTCTCTTTTGTTTGTTTCCGGAGCAAATCCAGTATGCCGTCCTGGATTAGCAAACTGTAAGGACTTCAAGGCCTTAGTTGTTCGTCCCTGAATAAATACATACAATTTTATTTTTAAAAAATTCAAAGCATTTCTAATTAAGTGACATATTTCTGCTAAGAGACAAACGTTGAAGCCAAATATACACTTCTCTCTTTTTATTTATGGTATCAACTGTGCTCTAAGTTGCTTATGAGATATCTCAATGAATAAAAGTAATGGTAATAGTAATATCAATAGTCAAAAAGAAAGCAAAGATAATAAGTTGGACAGGAGTATACCCTTAAGAGATGCAAGTTAATGGAAGCAGGAATAGTTACTTTAATAAACAGGGTAATTTTTTCACTTCTCTTTTTATTTCCTATTTCCAAAATAGAAAATAAGTGTAGCATGTCTTCATTAAACATAGACTGTGCAAAGCTGGATTGCAAGTTCAGTTTTAAAGATGAAAGTCTTCCATCATGATGCTCCTTATTGCTTGGAAGAGAAACCTTCCTCTATCAATCATGTAAGAACTCTAAGAAGTGTGCAGCTTCAGACTGCAGATGGTAATTCAGTTTTTGAATATTCCCCTTAGTGAAATATACCTTGCAGGAAAAGCACTAACAAAGTAGGGAGATGTTAGTGCTTTTGTACTTCTCCCCACCCTGTTTTATATTTGCAGAGTATTTTGCACAGGGGTTTTGATAAAAGTGTGGCCTACCATCAGTCTGAAGTAGTACATCCCACTCTGGTGTCTTACATTCTTTTAAATCTCAAGGTATTCGGTGTGTTGATAAGATCTCATTGCTTACACAAATTATGTGGTATCATCCTGTCTGTGTTCATATAAGCTAATTCGCCTTTAAATATTATAAGAGTTAAGATCATATTATACAAACCAGGCAAGTATGGCTAACATTTTCATGAAAAGCCACTTTATTAAAACAGCTTTTTAACTGTTGTATCCTGGTCTGAATAAAACAGAAATTTGTTTAACTGAGTTGAAAGTTAAGGGAAAAGCTTATGCATATTACAGTTTCAAAAGCTGAACAGTTATTTTCTCCCTATAAGGATTTGGTCTCTTTTCCCCTTAAAAGGATTAGAGGTCATTCATACATACAATTCATACAAAGATTCAACTGAGAAGTTGCAATTTTACATGAAAACGCCATTTCTGATATTTAAATCATGATGGCATTTTCTTCATGGAGTGCTTATCCAACGAGAGTCATACAATCAGGAACTGTACAGAACTGAGTGTACACTTAGTATTTTAAGGGAGGGGATTGGTGCTATTTTTTTCATACTTTTAACCTGTCTCCTATGGCATATATTTAGAGGTACCTCTTTTTTTTTCAGTGGGTGGGATTTACTATCATATAACTGCAAAAGTTAGTTTTAGTCCCGTACTTAAGATAGTTGAAAAAATGGTCCCATATACATACGTCTGAATCAAGTCTCCTTCGTTGACGGTCTTCAGAGTCAACCTCTGCATTTCCACTTATTATCTGTGTACATTTGGGGCAAAGCTTCCAGCCTGGTATAAATTGACGTCCAAACTTGGCACTTAGAAAAGATACATCATCTATGTCAATTGCACGCAAGTTTTTCCTTGAGAGTTTTTTGTGCATATTAAAAGGATCGCAACATGACTTTTGCAAGTCTTCGTATCTATCAAGGTAAACTTTAGCATGATGGAAGCAGATGGTATGAGCCTCTGAAAGAGTTATCCCAGTTCTAAGCTGAAGAAGTAACAGATCAGTTGCTGATAAATCTTGCTTAGTCTTGAAGCCAGTTTGAGAGGTAAAGTATGCTTTATGACAATCACTGCTAGCTTGCAGCTGACTTCCAATTGAACATGGATCCATTTTACTTGATCAGTAAAATATATTTCAGTATTTAAATTGTATCTTTTGTCGTCTTTAACAGCTGTTACGAGGATTATCCTGGAGAAAGCAGTGAAGGAAGTAAGATTTGTGATGCATAAGTTTATTTTTAACTAGAGCCAAAACAAAATCAACCCAGCAATGTGTCCTGTACTCTTGATATTTTTTTAAGGATGAAGTGGAATCATAAAATAGGTATTTCTGCAGGCAATGCCAGTCATTGTTTCTTGGTTTTCAAGCAATTATTAGATTTGCCTATCATTAAATTTAGGCACTAAAGTGCCATGTTGCAACTAGAGTACATTTATATACCAGTTTTTATTAATTCCAGATACTGCCATTTCATGTATAGGTTTTCACAGACTAAAAGAATATCATAGACTGGTACAATTAGTTTTAATAACTGAAAGGACTAACCTAGTTGGAAACCAAGCTATCTAGATTGCTTTCTATTCCAAAGGTTGTTTTACAATAACCAAACCATCTTTTTCAGAATATTCATTGTGGAAAAGTTACCCAAATAATAAGATACTTATATTAGGTTTTTGATATTAAGAATCACAAATAAATAAATAAATAAATAAATAAATAAAGAAGGCCATCTTGTTAAGCTGTTGATAAATTCCAAACAATACAAGCGTTGTACTTATGCAGAACAAGTCTGCAACAGATCTGATGGAAAGTTGTAAGAGTTCTGTGCTCACTAGATTAGATTAAGTTGAAAGTTATATAGATAACTCAATTAGAACTCTCAGACAGACAGAGTAGGCTAAGGACCACCTTTAATTATTTTCTAGCACATAATTTAAGATTCATGTATCGAAGCAGCTGCAACATGACGCTTTTGTACCTTGGGAATATACATCTTGTCCAGACTGCAGAATCTGCTAGCAAAACATGCACCAGATTATTTCTTGAAAAATGTATGATGCCACTTCCGTAATTTGTCTTAACAGTGGAAAGAAGCCTTAAAACATCTGAATTAATATTTCCTAATGGCACTTTAATTAAAGAGTGCAAGGCAGGCGGTTGCAAGAACGATGGCAGAAGCAAAGCCAATGTGAAGAAGCTATTAAGCTGCAAGCAGTATTATGAAGAGATTAAATGTTGGCAACAAAATCAGAAAGGAAAAAAAACTTGCAACTTGCAGCTTTTTTTCCTCGATGAATCAAGAGTCACAGGCGTGCCCATTCTAGACTGATATTTTATCAGAACAGCAATTGGGATTATTTTTTTTAGGATCACCAAAATCATGAGTATTTTTTTTCAAACACTTGCAGAGGTCAAGATCCAAAAAAATCCACATATGCATGTAAGTGCTTCTACACATGCAATTTTCTTTATCTGAGTTTCCTTCCAACTAAAGTGTCCTGGGTTTGCATAGGATGCCCCATAATCTTCCACATCATCATTTCATATAGGAGGACAAAGGGCTAGATGAAGATGTCCTCAAAAAGTCCAGATTTGCATGTAGAGGCTTGTAAGCAGCAACTGGGATCCTATGCTGAGTCTCAATATTTAGGCTAATAATTGTCTTGTCTTCTTGGAATAACTTATTTTAGAATCTGAAACAAAAATTCATATGAGGACCCGTGTCTTGGAATATTTTAACTCTTTGCCTTTTTTCACACAGTATTATACTTTACATCCTCTATTCTGCTCCAAGTCAGTTATGACTCCAAAAGAAATAGATTTCAGCTTGTCATCAAATATTTGACTGTGTTCTATAAACACAGGTGTATTTTTACAGCTCAATTTTTTGTTTGTATTTTTTGTTTGTTGTTATGTAAACAAACATGATTGCCTCTCACATTTCTTGTATTGTTTAATCATTTCAGCCAAGAAATCTAAGGTCCTGTTAATAATTTAAACCCATTTGTAATGGAAAAGAGATACATAAAATTACATCAGCTCCCAGACCCAACTTAAAATGACAGGAATAAGATTTTTAATTGTTATCAGTATAAAATATTGCCAATAATGAGTGTTGCAATATCTAAAGCTTCAGTTTTGCTTTGCTCTGATTAAACATTTTATGTGATGTATGAGAGTGGGCAAATTTTAGTATGAGCAGAAGATGTCAAGGATAATGCACTAATTTTATGTAGGAGTGAATCATCAGATTATTAGCTGATACCCCATGATAAGCTCATTAAAAAACATGGCAGGTAATCATAGAAAGGAGGCAAGGAACAACTGCTGGCAATTACATTTAAAAAGAAAAAGTAAGTTTATAGTGGTAGAGCCAAGTCATGGAAAGAAAACAAAACAGAAAGAATAACTTCAACATATTTCCATTATCAAATCATACACATTACTCCTAAAAATCTTTAACTGCATCTGTAATGGGCTAATTATTTAATGTCTGAGTTTTTAATATCAGTATGTGAACTGGATTGTCTTGAATGAACAAGCTGTGTCTCACAATACTGGAAGTGCTCAGATATGCCAACACATTGGGATATTTCATTAGCATTTCAGTACCGTGTAAGAGTGAGGAATGTGAGGCACTCCACTCCTGAACTACAACTCCCAGCATCCTTCTGAAAGTTAGTTTTATACTGGAACTGAAGCTGCTCAAAGCTGTGCCCAGCAGTAATTGGAGGAATGCAAGTTATATTTCTTTGATTTACCTGATGCAGAAGTAGTCAAAAGGAATAATTCAACTTGAATTATTAAGTGAACACTTTTCTAAATGTTGACTTGAAGTGCTAGAGAAAAGCACTAACAATAAGTTCTATTTCCAGATATCTGCTACCCTGGAATTCAAATTATTCTGTCAAATGACCAAGTAGCAAATAATTTAAAATTATCCTTCTCCTTACTCTAGCTTTGTTCTATCATTTTGAAACTAGGATAGCTGGAAAAAATATGCAATTGTGTTTTCCATTTCCAAATCTACTATCTCGGCTTCTGAAACAATAGAGAATGGTGCAAAAATAGAGACTTGGCTCAGCACATGTAGCATATCATCCTATGTGCTGTAATTATGTATTTAGAATTAATGCTTGTACAGAGTTAATATAAATACATCAGCTGAACTAAATCTATCAGTGTTTAAGATGAGTTGAAAAGTGAGATGTTGGAGCTGGTTAAAGCACAATTTGGTAAGTACAATAAAACAAAAAGTGAGAGAAGAACAAATATATAGGATAAAGTATACTTGCTGTAAACAGGAAGATAAGGTTTCATTGAATTTAACATCAACATTGATTCACCAAACAATTTTAATGTGAATCTACTGGATAGACCCAAGAATGTATCTGAAATGATGGACATTAGATAGTCATTGACTCATATGTTTTTGTATGGTAGGTTACTGATATCTGTATAAAATAGTATTTTAATACACATTTAAAATATATTTTAAGTAAATTTTAAAGAGAAATCTTTGTTAATGTTATTTTTGGAATCTTATTATTTTTGAGAACTATATAACAGTCCTGGAATATTGCTAAGAGAATTATTTTAAGAAATTGGAAAAATAGTAATATTCCTCCAATCTTCAGTATTAAAGATTGGATTCAAGATATGTATAATTTAGCTGTTTTTGAAATGACAATTTTATTTACCAATCAAAAAAATGCCACGTTTCCCTTTGGCACACATTATATGACATTTTTACAAAGATATTATCATTTATTTTCTTTAATTTAGAAACTTTTAAATCCTGCTTAATATTTGGACATGTGGCATATATTGGTCAAACAAGCTCACAGCCTTTCATTTGGGAATGGGGAAGGAGGCAAGTTATAATTTATTTATTTATTAAAATGAATAGCTTACCCCAGGGGTAGGCAACCTTGGCTCTTTTATGACTCGTGGACTTCAACTCCCAGAATTCCTGAGCCAGCATGGCTCAGCTTGGAAACCTCTCCCTTTCCCCTCAGCATGGCTGGCTCAGGAATTCTGGGAGTTGAAGTCCACGAGTCATAAAAGAGTCAAGGTTGCCTACCCCTGGCTTACCCCATTCCCCAAACTCTAGGTGGGTCACAAAACATGAATAATAATAAAATGTAACGCAGAAATAGTAGTCTTTGACTTATGACTACAATTGAGACCAACATTTTTGTTGTTAAGTAAAGTGATTGTGAAGTTGTGCCCAATTTCATGACCCTTTTTATCATGGTTAAGTGAATCACTGCAGTTGTTACGTGAATCATGAGGTCATCCAGCAAATCAGGTTTCCCTTGTTGATTTTCCCAGCTGAGAAGGTTGCAAATGGTGATCACGGGATCCTGGGATGCTGCAGCTGTTCTAAATACAAGCTGTTTGCCAAATTTTGATCATGTGACCATGAGGATGCTGCAACAGTTCTAAATGTGAGAATCGGTTGGAGGTTAGGTTTTTTTTAGTGTCCTTGTAACTTTGTACGATCGCTAAATCATTGGTTGTATGAACAAATGGTTGCAAGTTGAGGACTACAAGTTTCTATAAAAAGAACTTTGCATATCCTCATGGTCACTTTAAATATATTTATCTATGTAATTCAGCTGAAATATCAAAAAAAAAAAAAATACTGCTAAAGGATGGGACAGAAAGCAAAGAAGAAGAATGACCAAATCCAGAAAACGTTTTTGTGACAGAAATCACATGAGAAGGGGAAAAAAAAGAAAAACAAACCCAGCATCCCTAATTGTAATCCTAGGTATTACACATCATTAATTTGAACTTAATCTGGAAACAGTCTGTGCAGCATATGCACTATGTAAAAGATATAGAGCAAAGCAAAGCAGGCTATGGCAGAGCATGTATAACTTATTTGTCAAAAGGCAGAAAGTATACAAACCACATTTTATAAAAGTTATTAACAGATTATGTATTTTATTGCTTGAATATTGCAATGACAGTCATTGCTATTTTGCATGATCAGGGAACTGGTCCTGATCCTGCATCAGGAGCTTTTTAAGAAAGAAAATACAGTATGCATGGAGGGGAAAGGGCCTCAGAACCAAAGTCTTGACTTCCCTAATTTATCAATTGATATAAACCATACACTGAATAAAGAGATGTATAAACCATACACTGAATAAAGAGATGCAGCCAATCAAACCTCACACTTAACATATTTTAAAGTGTATCTAACAATGTAATGTATAAAGTGGCATATTGTTTCCATTCCATAAAATCAAATGATAAAGCTAATTAAATCAGATTATAGCAAATTTACTTACTTAGATTTACATGCAACTACCTTTCTCCACTTTTTAAGAGTTAAAGGTACTGTGAGAAAGGAAGAAGTTTAAAAATAAAACGGTCACCATTGATTAACAATAGAAGGATTAGCCAAGCCCTGCAGGTAGGCACTAGATTCCAGGAGGCTTGGCTAGAAGACACACTTAACAAGACAAAAGGATGGCAGAGAGAAGTTCTGAACAATGTAACTGAGGGGGAGGGATGATGTATTCTGGCTAGGCGGA